ACCCTCTGAGAGGAAAAAAAAAAAAAAAAAAAAAAACTCTGTCTGGGAAGATGATGAGGGAAAGCCTTGGAATCCCATTTGCAACAGTCCCCCGGTGGGATCCCTGCTATGACAGGAAAAGGGGAGGCGTGGGAAAAGGTCCAGGGAAAGAAACAAGGAAAAAACAAATCAAGTGAGGAACAGAGAAGAGTAAAAGAACTAGAGGCCAACAGGTTTGCTCCACTGTTGAATGAGCCTGATCACTCTGGTCAGCCACACGAGGAGGGGGGAAGAGAGGGGAGGAGTGGGGAGCAGGAGAAAGGTCAGAAGAGCCAGGAAAGTCAGGAGATTGTGATGACGGAGAGCCAGGGGGAACACGACGAGGGGAGAGGAAACAGGAGGGAGGGGCAGAAGGGTCAGGGGACGGCGACGACCGGAACCCAGAAGGAACATCAGGAACTCTCTGGTGAGAAGGATGGGGGTGGGGGGGACCTGTCGGCGACCCCAAAGGCGGAAAATAGGCCGCTGCAGCAGGCACACCAGGGCGAGGCCGGACCGACCGGACCCAAGTGCACAGCAACCACAGGACGTAGACAGCCCATCAACACAATCAGTACAGCCAGCACAGCCACAGCAACGGGTAGGGCAGCACGATGCACAGAAATCGCAGGCGGAACACAAACGCCAAGGGTCGGATTTTTTTCCCGATGCCTTTGGGGTCCGGTCAATGGACATTGACATGTCCCCCCCTCCTCCAGATGTTGAAATGGTGGACAGCCAAACAGACCCGGACGCCCCCCCGCCAGGAAATGGACTTGGATCAGAAGATCCAAATAATCACAGAATGAATCATCAAACACCTTCGGTCCGAGACAGCTAAGGGAGGCACAATGGGGGGGAACGAGTACTGGGATGTGTCCTACGTGGAACTGGTCACACTTCTGAACAACAGCCCGACACTCAGAGCTGCGCTGACCAACGGCCTGCCGGCCCACTTGACATGGGCGGAGAGCTTTCAGAGAATCCTGGCCATTGCCCGCAGTCGGTTTCGTCCGCCGCCCGCACCGGATCAACAGCACCCCCAACCATCCCCTGCCCCCACAAATGGTATGCAGGTTGCCTCACAAGGGGAACACGGAGAGGAAGGGATGACATGCAAACGCCTCAAGCTGCTGCAACTCATGGAGCGGGGCCTCTTTGAGCTGCCCCTTACCATTACAGAAAGCATAGTAGTAATCCCTATGAGGAAAACGGATGGCAAATGGGAGATTGGGCTTTCCTCGGTAGGGGAGCATGGCGGGCTAACACTGCAACTTGAAGGATGGGACTTTCCGGCCCAGATCACGGACGCAAGGGAAAGGGACAAAGCCTTCACTAGCCAAATGAAGGCCTTTGTGCCCGCACACTATGCACCCGGGGCGAGGGCGGCAACGAGATTTGCGGGCAGCGACCTGCAGATAGCAAGGAATTATCTGTACTTGCTGTTTGAACCGAACAAAACTGTCGGCTTGCGCTGGTTTAGCCACAACGCGCTGCTTGAACTACAGTGCGCAAAGGTCAAACCTAGCGACTACTGGCCTGAGGACGATGTGTGCAGATGTCTGTGCAGGATCCTGCGAAAGAAAGCCCTGCTGATAGACACATGGGACATCAAGCAATGACACCCCTTGTGAGTGATTCTCCTCAGACGGCACACATGATTGACACATGACAGACTTGGAAACACTATACTATAGAAACTCGGCTTGGAAACAATGTGTCAGAACGGCCGACCTAGACCTCCGTTCTATTAACGTGAGCGGTCTGGCAACCAACAACCCAGAAAAATGCCAGGCCATTTTGGACCAACTTAGGGGGGTAGGAGGGAGACGTTGGCCAGACGTGATATACGTGCAGGAAACTCACCTGCAGGATAAACCAGAACACGACAGAGCTCACATTGTCAAGAAGGTCTGGCCTCATCTGGCGGTAAAGGCCCACGCCCCTGGGCCAAGCCTGGATCAGGGGGAAGCAATTTGGATACCCCCGGACTCCAGGTTCGAGATGGTCCATTGGGCGATAGACGAGGAGGAGGGACGGTGGGCATCAGTGTTGGGGATGCTAGAACTTGAACTGCTATGTATCTTGTGCATATACTCCCCTAATAGCGTCAGTGAAAGAAGAACCTTTTTGGCTAACTTAGGGGCGCGTGTACCGGAGGGCATCCCGCTGATCATTGCAGGGGACTTCAATGCCGCCCCTGAAAGAAGGTGCGACAGATGGAACCCTCGGGGATCCCCCGCCTTCGCGGCAGAAGAAGATGAGCAAATAATTGCCAACCTATGCAAAAACCTTGCGGTCTTTGACACCTTCCGCCGCCTGCATCCCACGGACCGGACCTTTTCTTGTGTTAGGGACTGTCACAGCGATCCGGCTAGGCTGTCCAAGTCACGGATTGATCTCATTCTGGTCTCCAATGACCTGGAATGTGCTCTCCGATGGGCTGCCATTCTCCCACGAAGCCCGCACCCTAGACTGGACCATAAAACATGCCGAATAATACTCACCATGAGAAAAAGACCAGATCAAGGTCCGGGATTTTTTAAGCTCAATACCTCACTCCTCAACGACCAACAATTTAGATCAATGATTCAGCATGAATAACAGTTTTGGCGTCAACAGAAAACTCATTTTGATTCGTACTCCACGTGGTTCAATAATGGCCTCATTTTTGGCTAGAAAGCTAAAGCGGCTCTGAGACAGCAACAAGAATTTGCCACCCACGAGGAACTGTTGAGCCTGGTACACCATGAAGATTCACACCTTCTCAGCGCACACATTCAAGAAGTGAAGGTCAAACTTCTTCAATATGCACAACACAGATGGCAGGGCATCAGGATACGAGGGAAAATGGCTAAATTTACTCAGGAGGCCACAATGAACACTCATTTCTTTAGTATGGCGACAGCTCGGGCGAGACGCACGATAATCGAGGCATTATATGATCAGGATAGCGTGGACGAAACTATAGCAACAAATACCGCGCGCTGCACTCTAATCACACGATACTTGGGATGCGGGAAGAGAAAACACCTGACATTGACGGCTTCCCCAAATAATTTCGGGAAACAATGTGGCCAGAATTGAGCACCGATCTGTGGGATTTCTATCAAAAGATCTGGGAGGATGGGGAAATGGGGGAAGTGGTGGGGAAAGTGGTGTTGACTCTGCTGTATAGGAAAGGGGATAAAATGAACATAAGGAACTACAGACCAATTACCCTCCTTACAGTAGTCTACAAAATCCTCTCTAAAGCCTTGGCAAACTGCATGGCCAGCATACTGGCAGATGTGATCCACCCGGCCCAGACAGGGTTCATGACCGACAGAAAAATACAAGAAAACATCCTGGTGGTAAATTAAATCGTCTGCCTGGCACGAAGACACCGGGCAAACGCTGCAATAGTCTTCATTGATTTCGAAAAGGCATATGACCACGTGGACTGGGTTTTTCTGGACAAGTGTTTCAAAAAAATGAATTTTGGGCCGTCCTTCAAGCGATGGGTGAGCATTCTGCATAAAAATGTCACCACATGTGTGCAAGTAAATGGACGGGTGGCACCCCCCTTTGAGATCCAACGGTCGGTCAGGCAAGGAGACCCCATTGCCCCTTATCTCTTCTTAGTCATTATGGAGGCTCTCTCTGCTAATTTAAGACAGAACAAAGACCTCACTCATATTCGGATCATTGATATCCCTGAGGAAGCGGTTCCCATCTGCTCCCTGTTTGTGGATGACCTTACTATTATGGTGGAAGCAAACACACAAAACATGGAAAAAATCCAAGCGCTTATGAACCGTTTTGGCAACGTCTCTGACATGACTGTCAACTGGGGGCAAAAAACGGTGGGTTGGAGGTTGCACCACCAGGGGGGCAGGCCGCCAGAAAGCCCAAGTATTGCCTGGCTCCCCCCGAATGATCCCCTCAGGGTCCTGGGTGCGTCAATCACGACAAAAGGGAAACCCGTCACAAACGACGAGTGACTCTCTACACCGGCTCAGGCCAAGCTAGCAAAGTGGAACCACAAGCAAAGCTTGATTTTTGGGCGAGCTCTGGTCATTAACAATGTCATGCTCGCCACTCTCTGGTATAAAGCCATCCTATGACCCTTACGTAAAGGGGGCTCATGACGCTCAAGCAACAACTGGTGGCCTTCCTTTGGAGAGGGGATAGCAACGATACCCACGCCATTATCCGGGTAGCGTGGGAATCGGTCATTCAGCCTAAGGCTGGCGGGGGCCTTGGGATAGTGGACCCCTCTACACAGTTCCAGGCCCTGAGCCTCCACTGGATACAACATATGATCTTTGAGACCTCCTCCCCCTGGGTTCCCCTGACCCTGAGGCAAATCGCAGCGCTAGCCCCGGAGGCCCCGCCTGAAATTGACCCCCTCACTTGGCTTGAGGACAGATATTGGAGACTCCCCAAGAAATATAAGAATGGTGACCCGGCTGACGAGTATTGGATACGCCTTCTGAGTACGTGGAGGAAACTCCCATGCCACGACCGCCTGCGCCGGACAGATAGGAGGAGATAATCAGACAACCCTTGTTTGGCAATAGACTAATCACAGACTCCCTCGGCCAGGTGAGGAACAACTCAGACTCTCCATGGAGAACTTGGGTGAAACATGGGGTGTTAAGGGTGGGGGACCTCTGTGATGGGGCAAGTGGGGATTGGAAAAGTGCTGAGAGTATGAAAAGATGTCTGCGCTATTGCCATTCACTAGATTCAACAATGGAGGGGCTTATTGAAAGTTTTCCCATCCAATGGTACACCACGCTGAAAAAAGGCCCAACATTGGAAGTGGACGATTGGGTGTGGCTGCCTAGTCATGAATCACAAGCAGGCCGTGTGCACATAGCGGACCGAGCTCAAGTCCTGGTTGAAGTGTACGATGTCACAGGAACAGGGCAGCTACGAGGGAGTAGCCTTCCTTTTACCTGGAAAAGAAAATCGGATGTCTATCGCATTAGGGTGGTAGAAGAAGAGAAAGGCGGAAGAGTGTATCACCCAATGACCCCGATTGAGAACCTTCCCTTTGATCCCCAGGAATGGAGGTGGTCATGGTGAGGCAGGTGAAGGCGGGGACAGGGCGAGGGAAAGACAGTGTCTTTGGCTGCTCTTAAAACAAAGTCGGTCTACCGAATGCTCAGACCTAAGCGTGGGCTGCGAGACGTGGTTGAGGACAGATGGCAGCGCCACCTCAATATAGACAGAAGCACGCTCAAACCAATTCAATGGTTCAAGGAGCATCAGAAAAGGCCGACAAAAATCTCCGCTTTCCAATGGCAAATCGCCCATCGATGCCTGCCAACCAACGATTGGCTGGTTGATCACACACACCTTGAACAACAAGGAAGGGCGCTTCCCTGGTGCCAGAGCTGCCGCCAAAATTTCCCCGAAAAAAGACGCCCCGAGACAATTGAGCACATCTTCCCGCAATGCCCGGCTGCCGTCTTATTATGGCGATGGTGGGAGAGGATCTAGCGACACATGGTTCCAGGGTTACCATGGACTTGGGACTGGAGGGCAATCTTGCTGGGGCACTGCCCCCAGCTCCGGGACAATACCTTTGCAGCAAATATGTAGTCCCTGGGTAAACGTACTGTTCTCTGGACCATATGGTGGAGGAGGTGCATCATGGAAGTGGAGGGGGCCAGGGTGGAAGAGGGGGAAGTCACAGAGCAGATACGACTGCTTGTCCAACACGAAATTATGGCACAATGGCAGAATGTACAGGAAAACCTGGAGCAGGTGCACAGCAAGATAGACATCGACAAAATTATCTCCCGGTTTTGTGGGGACTGGCTGGGGGGGGAAA